GACGAGCAGTAACAAGAAGAGCTGAAATTGACTTTTCATTCTTTTGAGTGAGGATTTGCTAAAAACAGCTTTCTAGCTTTCAGCTTTCTTTCACTAAATTACGTGAAATGTAACAAAACGAAGTTTTAATGCAGTAACTTTTTTAATACCTTATGTATTTTTTTATTCATGGGGGGGGGGCCTTCCAAAAAATTACTCTGATGAGGGGGGGGGGCCATGCGAAAAAAATCGGAAATTGGGGGGGGGGTCATACAATTTTCAAATTACACTCCTCCAAATCCCACCAGCCCCCCCTACCCCATAAAAAATGAACGGTCCCTAAGGTGGTACTGTGTCCTTCCTTTTACTACAGAAAATAGACTCTGGAGTTAAACAGACGGCTGTTTTAGAGAATGTTTCTTAGGCAGCGGAAATCTCGGATTGCAGGGAACTTGAAATCTTAGCCTTTTGTCCGGTGTTCTTGAAAGTTCTCGTCTGGCTTATTCATCTTTGATCCGAGAAATAATTTATTTGATAATAGCAGAAAAAATTTGATTCTTTTAAAATATTTTTACCTTCATTCCGTTTCCGTTGATCCCGTTTCTTCCATCACGACCATCCTTTCCTTGGGTGTGAAAAAATTAAATTATTTAATGGTGATGAATAGAAAAGAAGACGAGAAGAACTCACGCAAAAGAAAGCGGAAGACAACAATTTTGAATGTCACGTCAGTGGTATTTATCTCTTGCTTAATACTTCATTTATTCTTCTACACCATCAAAATTAAAAACTCCCAGCTCTGACTACGTTATCTTATTTTTAACAAGGTTCGCTTCGCCATGAACTTAGATTAATCAGATTAATTTACCTAGTTGTAATATGGAACGTAATTATATGGCTAATTTAATTTTCTCTGGCAGTATTTTCTGCTAGCAATCTACTATTCCATTTATGGGCAGAAGATGTGATCAGATATATACGTATAGGTACTAAATTGGAAGGTTGACCGGTTCATGGTTATATTAATGCGTGCGATTTCTTATCTTACCGTTCTGACCATCTCGTCCGTCCCTTCCTAAGGAAAAAATGAGAAATCCTATTAGAAACAACATGAACAGATAGGAATCAGGACTCATTCAAGTCTTTAGCTTACCGTCGCGACAGTTGCAGCAATGGTTTTGATTTGATACCTAAACAAGAGGAAATCCACGAGGCATTAGTATTGAATTTTATTGCTTAAAGTAGCACAGTCATGGTGTATCTTCTTTTGATCTTACTTTTTATATGAGACAAAATTAATTCTTTCAAGGACCAAACTAAAAAAAATACCAAACTTACATTGCTTACAGAGTTTTTCTGGCTTGCGAAGGAACGCAAGATCAGAACAAGAAACAATGGAATAAACAAGCGTAACATTTTGAGCCCACTCTTCTTTCAGTTGCAAAAGGGAGTTTCACAATGATGGGAAAGATGTTTCCTTTAGTTTTTTAACATGAAAAAACGGCGAGACTATTAAAATTTTAATATTTGTATTACGTATGATTTTGATGCAAACATTGGTTTAGCTGCCCGATGACCCTATCACGTATTGTCCTTGTCCACCAAAAGCCGTTTTTATAAAAGTTGACTTATAGTCAGCATTGAGAACTTATAGATTTCACAATGGAATAAACAAGCGCAACATTTTGAGCTTACTCTTCTTCCAGTGCTCCTTTCGTTTTCAGTTTGAACTGGCGAGTTTCACAATGATGGGAAAGATGTTTCCTTTATTTTCTTAATATGAAAAAACGGCGAGACTATCAAAATTTTAATATTTGTACTACGTATGATAATGTTGATGCAAACATTGGTTCAGCTGTCATGACCCTATCATGTACTGTCCTTGTCCACCAAGAGCCGTTTTTATAAAAGTTGAATAGTCAGCATTAGCTAGCATTGAAAGTAACTTTCCTTTATTAGAAGTACTGTACTTAGAGATTTAATTTTAACAGACTTTTTCAAAAGGAAATAAAAGACTGCACAGTGTCATTAGAGATAGTGTTTACTTAATAAACTAACTAGTATAAGGCGCTCAACCTTCTTCTCGCAATCTACTCTACTTTGCCTTGAAAAATATACACTGAAGCCAGGGTAAATGAAAGAAGTAGTTATAATAATATGCTTTCCCCCTCAACTTTTTAATACTATTTTCCGATTATCCCCGTCATTTTTCCGTCAGCCGTCATGACAATTTTACCTGTTTAATCTCTTTTATTTATTAGTACTAATTAACGAATATTAATTTCAAACGGTTTTAACCAGTGCTGAAGGATGAGTCCCAATATTAAAGTAAAATAATAATAAATGTGACTTAAAATGGGGATAATCGGAAAATAGAATTAAAAAGTTGAGGGGGAAATCATATTATCATAACTTCTAAGAGTATACAATCATTTACAATACATTTCAAACACCTGCGTTTGGTTTTGACTATCTTGAATATTTAATGATTTAGAGAATGTTCTAGAAAAAGAGGGGTTTTTCCCCACAAAAGACTATTGTTAGATTTTGATAATCTGGGAAAATACAGCATGTGAGTGCGGTTTACAAACAATGATTTATCACATGTAAAGCAAAAGAACACATTCCAGATTAACCTAACAACAAAGAAAACCGAAAATGGATTTCAAGTTTAGTTTTCAAACATTGCGTTGCTAGAGTAATCCGGAATGCAATCTTTCGTTTTACACGTGAAAACCTATTGTTTTCTTTCATAAAAATTCATGATTCTCGAGAAAGATAAATTATTGCATGGATAATAGAAAGACTTTCTATTATCCATGATTATTGTAATTCAAGTTGCGGAAGAAAAAAAAGGGAAATTTAAAGAAATAATTCTTTTAAAATAAAAGATGGGATCTAAATCTGCAAAGCAATCGCAATATGAAAAAGACAGTGTTATTTTTCCATCAAAAGAGGATTATCTGAAAGTAAAAGAAATCGATTCACTTATTAGTTCTTTGTGTAAAAAAGATTTAGAAAGAGAATCCGTTGAAGCAATGGAATTACAGGTTCAGAGCATGCATATTTATCAAAATTGTTTTTCTGCCAATCGTCTATGCAAGTAATATGATCATGTCATAATGATGTCAAAGAACCAATTTGCACACTCTCCTGGCAGTCACTTGATCAACTTATGTGCAAATAACTGTAAATTAATCAACCGTGGAATAAAACCTTCGGATCAACAATAAATTCAAGGTTGGTAGTGTTGCATTATCCACTGATTTTTTCTGCGATTTTAGTGCTCCTCCATCCTACTTAAGGTTACTCTGAAATACACTTCTAAATTGAAATACACTCAGAGATCGCTGAGATACATGTGAGTGGAATTACTAAACGATAGAATTAATACACAAATGGAAAAAAAGAAAAAAAAAGGAAAAAAGCATGCGCTTAACCGTGAACCTTCAAATATGAAAATAAGTGAAACAGATGATTCAGAGTTTAGCAAACTCCTTCCTTCAATTGTTGAATTAATTTACGAAGATAGAGAAAGTGTTGAAAGTATTTTTAGTCATAGATTGAAAAATTTAGATTATAATCTCTTTCAAAAGGGAATCTACCCGGGAGAGTTTTAAATCTTTACTCAATGGTTGATTTAAGACTTTTTTATTATCTAAACAATTATTAAAATGGAGCAGCTAGGGGCAAAACATACTAAACATTCTATTAAAAAAATAAAACAAAATATTTCTTAGAAAGAAATCACAGAAAATGAAAAATTACTGAAAGAAGAATTCCGGCTCTGTCGACGAAGAAGCAAGAGAAAAATCTAAGGAAGAGGTAAACGATAAAGTTTCAAAAACATTAGTTGAGGGAGAGGAGTTTAAGAAACTTCAAAAACAAGCTAAAAAACTTGGAGCCAAATCTCTTGATTATTCAAAAGGAAAACATAACAAATATTTTGTAACTTTAGAGAATGGAAAGAAAATTCATTTTGGTAACCGCAAGTATGAAGATTATCTTTTACATAAGGACGACGGAAGAAGAAAGAAGTATCTTGCTCAAGTAAAGAAAATTAAAAACAAAAAAATCAACTCAGTTATGAACTACCAGAATCAGCTATTTACTGGAGCGTGCACTTGCTTTGGCCTGAAAAATAAAATTAATTATTATTTAAAAAAATAATTATGATTAATAAAAAATGCAATTGACGAATCTTTCAAATCTTCGAAAAGGCAATCTAATTTTTAACGAACCAAAGCAGTACCAAGTCAAAAACTCCAAACTTAAGTACCAAAGAGTAAAAATAGA